TATATATTTATATTTATATATCAGCCCCAAGTTAAGACTCCTCTACTATCAAGACATTTGCATGCTAACATTCAATGGATAATCTTTGTAGGAATGTCTATTGTAACATTATCCAGGGAAGCAACCCATTTAAATAATTTGATTAGTATTTATTTCAGTCTGGAAGTGAAGCTTCATAGAGTCTCAGTGCTGTTTCTAATTAATTTCTCAACACAATAAAGTGAATGATTCTATCAAAAGAACTATAAAGTGTGATAGAAGCTCACCTGATGAGGAGGTCTCGCAGGTAAGCAAACTCACAATGTGCAATATTCTCCACTGCAGAGAGAGAGAGAAAGAGGAAACATTAGAGGAATTGCGTAACTTCAGAGAGACTCAAAAAATATTCCGTCTGTTAAGATTTCATGCAGCAGTCAAGATAAATTACGACTTGGGAGGATGCCCAACAGATAAAATAATTTAAAGCAATTAAATAACTAATTAAATATGATCAATCAAAATCCCTTCTATTCCAGCTCAGTTGCCATTCCTTAAAGCACCACAAAGGGGCAGTGTTGTTCACAAGTCAACTGAAGGGCATCCTCTAACATGACATCTGCAGCAATTTTCTTAAGCCAAGATAACACACTTCTCCACTTTAGAGTAATTTAATACCTCTCGGCTCTCCTCTATATTGGAGAACTTTAAGTGAGACGTTTTAACAAACTCCCAGTGACAAGCTGCTGGTGCCTCCAGTTAGGGCTAACACGTGTTTGAATTATAGATTATGTCAAGAATATAAAAGAAAAAAAGCAGGGTGCTATTTATGTAAAGCTTTGAAATCCAGGGGCAGGAAATTAAATTCTCTTTGAAAGGAAGAGAGTGGAATAACTGCTGGGTCTGTGAGCACTGATTAGTGGCGTCGAGGGAACACGTTACTAACTTGTGACTGCACTGCTGGTATCTCCACTCTCTGCTCATGGAGAAATCCCTATATGCAGTACTTATTCGTTCTCCTCCGTCTCTAATTGTCCCCTCAACTCCTGAAAATAAATAGTTTCTTCTCCACTTGTGATATATGGAGACTTGACTTCTGGCTTCTCCTCTGAGGCCTAAATTATGAAGTTGGTGCAGACAAGTTCAGCTGCCCAGCAGTTTCCTCTCTCCTCCTTTTCCTTGTTCCCTCTCTCCCACCGCTTGGCTTTACAAGAATGGAGCCATTGTTCTTCTAGCCGGACAAGACGGCATTTATCCCACAGTCCGTGTACTTCACCTCTCTCACCCTGTCGTTTTGTGGAGTTAACTTTATAATGCTTGCTGACAGAGATGTAGTCACCTTTGAATTCTTAACACTGAAAGGGCTCATGGTACTACCTTGGAAATGTCATCTTTTCACAGAGTACAACTGTCCTGTTTCAGCTTGAACTAAATGTTATTCTGAGGTTGATGTAGGACCACACTGTTATCCTTCATTATTAGTGAAATAATAAAAATCCCTAGAGCAAACAGTTGAAAGTTTTATCATGTTTATAATCCTTTAAATCTTGAATAGACCGATATCCCAGTGCTCCCTGCTCACACTGGAGTCCTGTAATCCACTGTGGTATTTTAATGATTTTTAAGCAGTGGTGGAGGAATCACTCAGAAAACTTTACTTAAAAAGACCAGGGTGTAAGATTTAGTGGCATCGTGTAGTGAAGTTGCAGATTGCAACCAACTGAATACAGCTCAGTCTTCCAAGCATGTAGGAGAAACTACGTTGGCCACAAACCTCGCGAAAAATGCAAAAGCCCTATCTAGAGCCAGTGTTTGGTTTGTCCGCTACTGTAGGAACATGGTGGCTCAACATAGTGACCTCCGTAGGAGAGGACCTGTAGATATAAACAGCTCATTTAAGGTAATGAAGACATTCATCGATTGCTATATTCAGAAATTCATTATACACTAATATGATGTTTGATGGGGTAGGAACAAAAAACAAAGCTCTACTATACACATTTGTAGTCTTTTTGCCTCTAATCTTTATTTTTTGTGAAATTTTGGATACTTTTAGAGGGGAAATCTAAATTTGGTGGAACTACCAACAACTCAAGGACATCTAAAATGCTTAATTTGATCAATTAAAAAGAACAAATACCTCAAAATTTTTCTTAACTGAAGCACTTGAGTAAATGTATTTAGTTACTTGGCAACAATCTCATAAAGAGCTGAACAACCCTTGAGCTACCTTGAGCTACGTGGATGATCTTTTCAAGGTCATATTCCTGGTGAACAGTTGTTGGCTCCTAACCACGCTGAATTGTAAGAAATAGACAAGCAGCTTTCTAGCTTCTACAGTCTGGATAATTGACAGATTAAAATAGTTTTTAATAATAAATAAAATAATTTAATAATAAGTGTTTTATATTTTACAAAGCATTTATAGCATTTTCAATAAACTAGTGCTCAGTATGCACAGTGTTTAACATGGATAGTCCCTTGTACAGGCCTCCTTCAGCTGTCTTATTGTCCTCCAATCATACTTTCACTCCTCGTCCAGACAGATGTCCTCTCTCTCTCTCTCTCTCTCTCCCTTCCTCTCTCCCTCTCTCTCTCTCTCACTCACACACACACACACACACACACAGACACACACCAATGGGTGAGGTGAGGACATTCACGTGCTAAGAACCTCCTTGGCAGTGTGTTCATGCAGCACAGGCCAACAAATGTAAACTGTATCAAAGTTAATGCGTGCAAATCTGTGTATGTGTGTTTTATGTTCCTGTCTGTTATCCCAGCGGACACAGAAAGTCCTTGTAAATCTCTTCCTCCTGTCTCATACATCTCCCTAGTTACTGACTCAGAGATGTATGTAAACAAACGCCTGGTAGTCAAACAACAGACGGTTAAACCAGCTGGCCAGATTTTAAAGCTGCAGTCTGTAACTTTCCACATGTTGAAAATATAAGAATCTGTCTGTTCTTTGTAAAGCTGTTTTTGGTATGGTGTGTGAATGCCATCAACTGTTCAGGTAGTGTGCATGTGATTATATTATTCATTAGAATGATAAAGTTGGCACTGTCAATTGCACAGGTGTGAGTACAGTAAATGAGCCGTTTAAGTGTTTGACCAAACTCCACCGTGCAGATGGACATTATACTATACATTATTAGGCCAATCTGTAATATATATACACACCGATCAGCCATAAGATTCTGAGCACTGAAAGGTGAAATGAATAACATATAACTGATGTAGTGGTTCATCATGGCAGCCAGTGGGTGGGAAATAATATCAGGCCAGAAGTGAAACATTTTGTCCATCAAAGCTTGATGTGTTAGAACAGGGAAAATTGGGCACGGTGAGGCATTTGAAGTCTCTTTGACAAGCGACCAAATTTATGATGGGCCTTTTGACGACTGGCGTCAGAGCATCTCCACACTGCAGCTCTTGTGGGGTGTTCCCGTAATGCATGGTCAGCTACCTATCAAACGTGTCCAGGGAAGGCGAAAAAGTGCGGTAAACCCGGAGACAGGAGTCATGGGAGGCCTCCAAGCTTTACTTATGCACGTGGGGAGGTAGGCTGGCCCTGTGTGGGTCGCATCCAACAGACGAGCTAGGCCTATAGCTCAAACTGCCTGAAAAGGCTAATCGCTGGTTCTGATAGAAAGGTGCTCAGAAACACACAGTGCATC